TTCGCGTCGTCCATGTGGAGACCCTGGTCAGACACATGGTGTCCTAGGAAGTCCACTTTGCGTTGGGCAAAGCGGCACTTACTGAGCTTGGCATAAAAGTCATGCTTGAGTAAGCGTTGTAGGACATCGCGGAGGTGTCTGATATGGTCTTCTAAGGTACGACTGTAGACCAGGATATCGTCCAGGTATACGAGAACGTATTCTTCAAGGATGTCCCTGAAGATGTCGTTCATCGCCGTCTGGAAGCTGGCGGGTGCATTGGTGAGGCCGAATGGCATCACCGTGAACTTGTAGTGGCCGAAGCGCGACCGAAAGGCGGTCTTCGGCTGGTCCTCTGCGGCAACGCGGATCTGGTGGTAACCGCTACGAAGATCGATCTTCGTGAAGAAGCGGTTGCCTGCCAGACGGTCAAACAACTCATCCGCGCGGGACATGGGATAGCTATTCTTAACCGTGTAACGATTAAGGCCGCGATAATCGATGCAGAGGCGGAGAGTTCCGTCCGCTTTGCGAGCAAAGAGGACAGGTGCACCCCAAGGGGAGTTACTAGGTTTAATGAAACCAAGTCGAAGGAGCTCCTCAAGCTGACGCTTGAGTTTCGTCGCCTCTGAAATCGAGAGTCGGTATGGTGCCTGATGGTGAACACGATAGTCAGGCACGAGCTGGATGGAATGCTCGACACCGCGCATCAGGGGAATCCCGCTGTATGAGAAATACGGGGGGAAGACGTCGCGGTACTCCCGAATCAGGTCACGAATGACGGGCTCTAAGTCAGCCGTGAACCGCATGAGTTCCTCAACGTCTGCGTCGGCACGAGACGTATGGGTGGACTCGGCAGTGGACGGCGTAGGAAACTGGGATGTCGAGGGGGTATCCGCAGGCTGCGGGGTGGATGTAGAGATGGGAGCCGCGAAGATAGAGGAAGGGTCAGGGGGATCGGGCTCCAGTGAGATGAGCTCAACCTCGGGACAGAGTGGATCGTAGTGAAGAAGATCCATGACGTTCACTGAGTAGAGCGTGACGTCCTCCTGTCGGATGAAGTGAGCAAACTGACGGGGAGAAGTGAAGGAGATGTCTGGGTGGGACCCAGAAGGACGAGGGTCCTAGGGAGGTCGGTTTGGAGGGGTGTCGCCCGTGGTTCCAATGAAGGGGACTCGATGGGTTTGACCACACTTCGTTTTGAGAATGAGTGTCGCAAACCCCCATTCGGCCTCTGTGCTACGGAACCGGCGAGACCAGGGAGTGCCAAGGATAAAGTTGTACCCAGTCTCCAGCACGTCGAAGTAGGCGGAGGAATGGTAGCGCCGAGGCGCCTGGGTACTATCCGGTGGCTGGAGGGTGAGGGAGAAGTGGAGGTCGGGGACCGTCTGATCGAAGAAGCGTTGCGTCTTGTTATCTCCGAGGGTAACGGAGATAGGAGAGCGAGACCCAGAGGTAGCTAGGCGAGCTTCCTCATCCACTCGAGGGTGAACGAAATCTCCCTGCGAGCCAGAGTCCCATAAAGCGTGGTACACCCTCGTAGATGTCCCTAGGCGAATAGAGATGATGGGTAGGGTGCGATCAGGGTTAGATAGCAAGGCGAGAAGACGACGCAGGACGTTGATATGTCTCGTGAGGCGCTCCTGACGAGCCTGCAGAATGCTCAAGTCCAGGAGAGATGACACAACGTTATCACGAGTTGCCAGTTGAGCGCCACAACGGGCTGTGCGAATGGAGCGACGCGTCGGAAGTCTCAAATGAGAAGCGCTAGATGCGGTAGTCTGCTGGGAGGCAGACGGTACCTTGATAGACGATGGGGCGGAGAGAACTGCGTCTATCGTGTCTTGAGGGTCCTCTGGTGGAGTAGCCAAAGGGGCAAACCGCGACTCGGTGGTCGGAAAGCCGGCTATGTGCGAGGCCTCAGGGGCACAGTGCACCGTGGCTAGGTGGATGGGGCTGGCCGGGCGGGGCCGGGGGGGGACTGAGATCGACGCTGACGAGAGATGTCAGCGTAGTGCCGATCGAGGGCGGTATGGTATGGACATCGTGAGGAGGTGTGTCCATCTAGGTGGCAACGAAGGCAGCCGCGCCGGGCCTCGAGAGCGGCACGCTCCTCAGGGGATAGAGCTCCGCGAGGAGGGACATAACCCTGCGGGAGGTCTATCTGAGGAACCGTGGGTGTGCGGGCGCCAGCCTGTGCAACCCGACTACGAGCACGACCCATGGCAGACATGGCCATCAGCAAGCGCTCGGCCACCGGAACAGTGTCGTCATCCAAGTGATACTGGATGACGTCTCGTAGCTCGATGTCCTCGGGGGCGTCCCCAAGGGTAGGGTCAAACTCGACCGAGGCGTCCTCGCCGTACTCCAGAGAACTGTAGCGCTGAGAGAATGACGCTCCAGGGCGGGTCGGGCGACGAAAACGACCAGCAAACGAGGAGCGACCTCGGGTGGTACCCCGAGACTGAGAGGTGGCTGCTGGCCGCGAAGAGGATGGGGCGATGGAGAAGCGACTGCACATCCTCTGGTACTGACGCGCAGCCTTGTATGGCTGCTCCGCGGAAGAGAATGATCGCCTCCATAACTCTAGGCGATAGTCAGTCGGCAGGCTGACAAGGAACTGGTCGGTGAGTGTGACCTCCGGTAGGAACGTCTCGTCACAAACAAGGCGAGCGTCCTGAAACACCCGGATGTGACGTTCCAGGTCGGCCGGTACAGAGGACCCGGACCATCTGGTCTGGGTGACGAGGTCTAAGGCGTCGGTGGCGTCATGACGAGCGCCGAAACGGTCCTGAAGGAAGACCGCGAAGTCGGCCAGAGTGGGGACCTCACCCACGCGGAGGCGCTGGGTATAATGATCCTCCCACGCAGTGGAAGGGCTACCTCGCAATTTGGTTGCGAGCACATCGCACCACAACTCCTGACGGGTGGTCGTCATAGAGAGCGTGCGCGTTGCTATCTGCAACCAGCGAGAGACAMRGGTTGTGCCATCATACTCGGGAATGTCCGTGGTGCGCACAGGAGGATGTCCACTGTGCTGATGGCGGGGGGAGAGAGATCGAGGCGAGTGCACTCCGGCAGCGTAAGTCGAGGTCGCTGCAGGGGCAGAGGTGGGGGAAGGCTGTGGGCCGTGGCCGCTAGCGGATGGACCAGCAGACGAGGAGGCAACGGCCGCGGGCAGCTGTCCCGGAATAGCCAGGTAGGAGGGAAGAGGCAGGTCGAGGGAAACGAGTCTGCATCATGGGGACCGAAGGGGTGGTAGAGGAAGAAGGGTGGGCAGCCTGTGATGGGTGAGGCTGTCTCAGAGCGAGAATCTCCGCCTGAGCCTGCGCAAAGTGGCCACGCGCTGGGGGCGCGGGGTCGGAGGTGGAGGGGGCGGAGCGGGTCTCCCAGTGGGAGGAGGAATCCCAGCCTGGTTGGTACCCTGCTGTGGGGCTGGGGGGACAAAGGCGGGAAGAAGAGGGCGGAGCCGTATTGCCGCGACCGGTGCGGGAAGCTGGGAAGCAACACCGGTGTAGGTCGATGAAACTGCTGGGCCTCGAGGCGGTACCTGGACCGCAGCACCTACGGCAGTAGTAGAGACGGTAGGGGCGGCCGTGGCCGGGAGAACTGCCGCAACAGACGGGGTGGTCTGAGCGGCAGCAACACTCGCCACATTTTCCCACCCCGCATGGGGTCAAAAAGTGCCAAGAGGAAGGAAAGTGCAAGAGGAACACACTAACTTTCAAAATGCCGCAAATTAAAATTTTCAAAAAAATAAATAAGTAAATAAATAAATAAATAAGGAGGTGGAAGAGAGTGAAGAGAAGCCAAGTTTTGGAATTTTTCAAAAATTTCGGCAGCATTTCGTTGCTCCCATGGGGTCGAAGTGTGCCGTGAAGAAGAAAGAAAAATAAGAAGATTATGCCAGCACTTCGCTACCCCCAAGGGGTCAAAATGTGCTGAAAAAGACTAAGTATGAAGAAAACAGAAAATTTCGGCAGCACTTCGTTACCCCCACGGGGTCAAAATGTGTACCAAAATGTGTACCGAAAGTCCTAATCAGATTTTAGGGTGCCGCATAAAATTTTGAATTTTCAGAATAAATAAAATAAATAAAAAATAAATTAGAAAATAAGAAAAGAGGTAGGGAATAAGATGATTAAGATTTTTTGAGGAAAAGAGAAAATTTAAATAAAAAAGAAA